CAGAAAGTGGTAACTAGTAGAGTAGAAGAATTTTGGCCTAATTCTTTTCAAGTGGTAAATATGGATGAACTTATGGAGTAGTAGTAACATAGTAATCTGTAACAAAAGTACTACTATCCTTTGTAGCTGTCGTTTGTTGGCGTCTTTTTTTTGTTTGGAAAGTCACCATGACCCAGTCGGCAGTATCCTTAACTTCTGATGGAGGTGCTAGCAAAAGGTGTTCTAAAAGTACAGTACAGAGGAATCATCTGTTTTTTTTTTTGGGTTTATGTGGATCAAGTTAGCCCAATGAATATTATTTATAGCGCCAAAGTTAATAAGTTGTTTTATGTTTTCGGAACAAGAAGTGACAAGTGGTGGTACTGCTATATGCCTCCTTTGTGGCAACCTAAACAAATCCAACCTAGGAAATATGCATTCATGTTAAAAACTTACTGAAATTTGAGTAAATAAAGAGATTTGCGTGGTTAACAACAAACTAGGGAAAAAAAAGGATAATATCACTTTTAACCGTAGGGTTGCCATGTTCTCTTGCTACCATTACTGGTAATTGTGTTATAACATCCCTGTATATCAGTCTCTCGAGGTGCTCAAAAGATTATTTTTCGCTAATTTAGCTCCCAGTGTCTACTTTTTTTGTTCTTTTGCATTGTCGATGTCTTGCGATACTTCTCATCATATGATCTTCACTACCTTAAGTGTTCTTCATCTGAAGCTTTTCCAAATTTGGAGTTGGACCTGATCTTTGTTATAAACATGTGAAGCAGGGAAAGGAAACGGGAAGACGCTGAATATAAAATCTCAAAATGATGGCTCCTGAGTTAGATAAGCAATACTCAAACATCCAGCTGGGAGAAGAAGTGGAGATATGTGACATTAAGCTTGCGCTCAAGGCACTGCGAAAGAAGATCCTTAGTTTGGATTTTCATAACTCCTTGCATGTTCATGATCCACAAAACTCATTTGAGTACTTAGAAGTGTTGTACAAATTACGGCAGCTGTCTGAGAAGTTAGGTAATTTGGACCCTGGTGGAGAAGTAAAAGAGCACAAGGAACTCACCGTATATGCTGATGACCTTTTTGAAATGGCGATGGCAAGGCTCGAAGAGGAATTTGTTTACCTTCTTACGTACTACAAACAGCCGTTAGAACAGGAGCTTCTCTCCTTCCGTTCTACAGAGGATGGCAGCACGGATGAATTTTCAAGCAGCTCATTCAGTGAGGAACAAAGTGAAGGCAAGTCAACACAAACCGGTAGCAGCGGAGGATCTGAATATTTTGTGGCTGATTTGATCCAACCTGGTGCACTCTCTGCTGTCAAGTCCATTGCCAACTTCATGTTCCTGAGTGACTACAATAACGAGTGTTGCCAGGCTTATATCAATGCACGGCAGGGTGCAATAGATGAGTTCATTGGGTCTCTTCACATCGACAAGCACAGCATAGAAGAACTTATGAGCACTAAATGGAACAAACTGAGCGCATCGATAAAGCGGTGGAATCGGGCAATGAAGGCTTTTGTCCGAGTCTACCTTGCGAGCGAGAGGCGCCTTAGCAGTCTTGTCTTTGGTGACCTTTCAGAAACAGCTGTAGACCTGTGCTTCTATGAGATTTCATTTAGCTCGGTCATGCAGCTTCTGACCTTTTATGAGTCTGTAGCAATTGGACCTCCTAAACCGGAAAAGCTTTTCCGGATTCTTGATATGTATGAGGTCCTGGATGATTTGCTCCCCGAAGCAGAGTTCTTGTTCCAAGCAGGGGGCAATGATATGGTTTTAGCTGAGTATCATGAAGTCCTACTCCAGCTGGGAGAATCAGCGAGGAAAACATTTGCGGAATTCAAGTATGCCATCCAATCCTACACGTCATCCAGTGCAGTGCCTACTGGTGCAGTGCATCCCCTCACCAAGTATGTCATGAACTATATAAAGGCTGTCACTGTTTACAGCAAAACTCTTGATTCACTGCTGAAGGATGCGGATCAACAGCCTATACCAAACTCATGCACTCATTTCACGGCTACAGCATTGCATCTGCAGTCTGTTGCTGCAGTTTTAGAAGCAAATCTTGAAGCCGGGTCTAGATTGTACAGAGATTGTCGATTGCGGAACATCTTTATGATGAACAATATCTGCTACATGGTCCAGAAAGTGAAGAACTCGGATCTCAAGAGCTTTCTTGGCGACGACTGGATCCGGCTGCACAACCGGATGTTTCAGCATCAGGCGACCAACTACGAGAGGGCGTCGTGGAGTCAGGTGCTGTCTTACCTGAGTGATGATGGCTTATGTGCCGCCGGAGGTGCCGCTTCTCGTAAAATCATCAGGGAGAAGTTCAAAAACTTCAACCTGTCCTTTGAAGATGTTTATCGAGTTCAGACTGCATGGTCTGTCCCGGATGACCAACTCCGCGAAGATGTCAGGATTTCCATATCACTGAAAGTTATACAGGCTTACAGGACATTTGTGGGAAGATACTCTGCCTTCCTTGATGGCACCAAGCAGAGAGATCGCTACATAAAGTACAGGCCTGAGGATCTGGAGGAACTTTTGCTGGATCTGTTTGAAGGAACTCAAAAGTCATTGCAGCATTCTGGCCGAGCTTGAAGCTGAAAGCACAGTTCTTCTTCGAGGGATAACACGGTGGTTGTAATTTTGCTTTGTACCAATTAAAAGAATTTTATTGCTTGTTTCGTTGTATTGATGTCCATGCTCAAAAGAATATATTTTTGGATGCCTTGTGTTTGCAGAAGTGTATCAGTTCCTTCATGGCAGCAATGGTGCATAAAGTGCTTCATGTACTATATATGTAACCGAAGTACAGATGATGCTTAGATGTAGGTAGCAATACGTTTTTTGCCAAAACATTTTTAACAAAAAGCCTGTATAGTTTCTGAACACCACTCGGTTACTGATTTAGTAATCTTCCACACACGAGTGGAAGGGTATGTTTCTCCTTAGAACTAGACAAACCTATTCTGGTTTCCGTATGGGTACGCCCACTTGTCGCCTCCAAGTGTCCAAACTATTACATGAACAAAATATAAACGAGCTACTAAACATGGTTTCTAGCTGCCGCTTGCACGGCCAACAACACCCCTAATTAACGGGCTTGCTAAAAGTCAGTCAAATGAGATTTAATCATGTCTTAGTCGACTGCATAGCCGTTAGATCTTAGCATGAAGATTCGTGCGGGACTCAGCACTGTCCAACGGACCTTGCAGCATTTTGTCCCAACGTTTGCAACATATCTTGCTACCAATAGATGCTCGACTGCATAGCCGTTAGATCTTAGCATGGAGATTCGTGCGGGACTCAGCACTGTCCAACGGACCTTGCAGCATTTTGTCCCAACGTTTGCAACATATCTTGCTACCAATAGCAGCATGCATCTTGCTGGTTGTAGGCCCTGACAAAATCCTTTCTTAAATGAGAACTTTATACATATGGTGTCCAGTTTATCACCATCTCACGTGAATGCACTCGTTGCCATTGGAAGGACACACACAAACCTTGAAGCAGTACATGAGACATATAAGCTTCGCGGAATTGTTCGTTTGAACTGCACATTGACATGAGCGAAAACCTGCACAACTTATCTCTCACTCCCGGTTTCCATCTCACTCACTTCTCCTCTCCTCTCTCACTCCCAGTTCCCCATTGATGGAGTTAAATCCAGCAGATCTCGGGTGGGGGTCCGAACAGGTAGCCTTGGTGCGATGGTGAAAGGAGACACAAGAATTTACCCCGGTTCGGGTTCTTGCGAAGAGCTTACAACTTACGTCCTGCTTTGATTGTATTGATTTCGGGGAAGTACAAATTTAGGTTGATCTACCGCGAGATCGTTGTGCCTAGAATATGATCCGCTACCAGGTGGGTTCCAGCGGCCTTGCGGAAAGGTCTCGCCTCCCTCGCCCTTCTCACTGCGTGGTCCATCTGGCGCCACCGGAATGCATGCATCTTCGACCACATGCACCCCTCCTCTACGCTACTTCTACAGATCATCAAGGACGACGCTCGGGCATGGGCTTCTGCCGGGGCCAAGGACATTGCAAACTTTATGCCTCCCTGATGTGTAGATAGCTAGGTTGGGGCCGAGCACCCCCATCTATTCTGCTCATGTACCACTTTTCCACGCCAACTCTGCGTACGTGGTAAAGTGATACCCGTGTAATCCTGACACTCTTGCTTTCTATCTATCAATGGAATGATACACATCTTGCGTATTCGTGAAAAAAAAGAATATGATCCGCTGACTAGCCTAGCCTCGGTTTATATAAGAGTACCGAAGGCCTACGTTAACAGGAGCCCTAGTCGGTTATGTTAGTGGAGATGAGTCCTCCACGGATCAGGAGTCCTTGTCTTGAACGCCAAGGCTTCTTGATTCTTCCTTGTATGCGCCATGGGCCTTCTTAGGATGGTCCCTTGATGAACCGTCACGGGGGTCCTTGGCCCGACCCACCTGGTTGGGAGACGACGTGGTGGATGGCCCCTAATTCAGGACACCATCACCCATCTCAATCACCTCTCAGGTGACTAGACGGACTGCGCCGGCGACTAGGCATGCGACGGGAGACGAGGTTGAGGCGGGTTGCATGGGCGGCACCATCGACGAGGACAAGCACCCTCCTCCCCTCTCAAGCCACTGGCCATACACGGGGCATGCATGGTGGACCTCGCCCCTCCTCCCTCTCTGTTGTTTGCTGTCCACACGCATGACATGGCGGGCTTGTGTTGCTCCTCCATTCACCGTTGCTGGTCGTCGATGGGTCGGTGCCCTCACCACTTGATCTGCTAGGGTGGTGTGCTGGAGGACGTGCTGCCTCTCATGGAGGTGGTGCTGTCGAAGGAGAAGTTGTTGCTCGTGAGGTGACGGTGCCAGAGGAGGTGCTGCTACTACGCGGAGGTAGTGCGCTAGAGGAGGAGCTGCTACTGCTTGTGTAGGCGACACTGTCGAAGTAGGTAATGCTACTACCTCCGTCCGGAATTAGTTGTCGCTAAAATGGAATAAGAGAGCCACGGAGCCAGAAGGACACCTGGAGGCAGCCACGAGGTGGGCACACGCCCCCACCATGCACTTACCCCAGGGAGGCGCACATGCCTACTGTGTGGGGCCCTCGGGCACCGCCGTATGCTCTTCTTTGGCTATAAGATCACCCTGACTTAAAACATGTGCATTTTTTGAGAATTTTTCGTGGTACGAAGCTGCCGCTACCTTCGTTCTTTGTCCGAAGAGCTAATCTAGAGGCTGTTCTGGGCATCCAGAGAGGGGAATTTGTCGCCATCAGCAACCTCTTCTTCATCACGACCATCATGATCTCCTCTCTCACGTATGAGTAATATTGATGTACGCACATGGGGGTGGCTGGAATTGGATGAGATTTTCTATCTAATAGCACTAGTAGAAAACATGGCTTTGGTTCGGGCAGGGCAAGCCCATTAGTCCTGGTCCAGTCACGAACCGGGACCCATGGGGGCATTCCTCCCGGTTCTTTAGCCCAGGGGGCCGGCCGGGGCCTCGTGGGCATTGGTCCCGGTTCGTATGGACCCATTTGTCCCGGTTCTAGGCACAAACCGGGACCAATGGGCCTCGCTCCTGGCCCACAAATATTGGTCCCGGTTCTTGGCTCGAACCGGGACAGAAGGCTGGGCTTTAGTCCCGGTTCCAGCCACGAACCGGGACAAATGAGTTGCCTATATATACCCCGTCGCCGCAGCAGAGCACTCCATAGTGCTCTGTTTTTTCTGGCCGACGAGGAGAGGGCATTTGGGTGCTCTAGCTCACCTCCTATGCACATGAGGTGTTCAATGAAATGCACGAGCCACGCTAGTTAAGCTTTCTCCTCTCAAAACTCGATCTCCAAGCTCCATTTTCCCCGAGATTTGTCTAGATTTAGCGGTCCGTCCCGTCCCCGTCTTCACCGCCGTCGATCGCCCACGCCGATCTCGTCGCCTGCACCACCGTGGTGAGCCTCTTGTTCTTATCTTCTTCTGAAAGAAAAAAAATTCTTACCTTAGATAGATACTTGTCTAATTTTCTTACTTTTATTATTGCTTGTTATTATATAGTGCGATGGTTTTGGTATCTGCCCACGTCGGCCCTCGTCCTGGCTATGATTCAGATGTGGTATATATATTATCTTTTATAACTATTTGGTTCATTTATTGTTTATGACAATTATGCCCATCAAGTTGACATAGATTTTATTTATGTAGGATGTAGTTGAACCGGAAATTCCAACCGACCCTATTGTCGAGAGGTTAAATTTAGTTGAAGAAGAAAACAATTACTTGAAGGAAAAAATTGAGGAGGAGAAGATGATATTGGAGTTGCATGTTGCGGATGTCGCCGATGATCACAAGATCAAGATGGATGCAATGAGGTTGAAGATTAGAAAGATTAGAAAATATACCATTCATACCGAGGCTTGGTATCATTATGCCGTTGGATCAATTTTTACCTTGTTGTGATTATGATCGCATCTGTTTTTGCATTGAAAGGTTTTACATAGTTTCAATGTATGGTTTAACTAGATGCTATGGAGAGCTATATGTTGTTCAATGAGAACTATGTATGTACTTTGTTTTTAATGTGATGATGAACTTCTATTAATTTGGTCACTTAACTATTCATGAGAGCTATATGTACTAAATTGATGATGTGGCTTTGAATGGTGCATTTTGAACACAGAAAAACTATGGAGTTCAAACAAGTTAAAAAATGAAATCCCTTTGTAACAGACGAGTTTCCGTATGAAACCCTCATACTTCGAAAGAGATTGTCCGTTTTGTACATGAAGTGCATCCAGTTTTTGTGGTAACCCTCTCTACTTTCTTGCACATTCTATGTGGGTGAAATGATGATACCATGCCAACATTCAACCTTTTCAGAGTTCATTTGAAATACTTTTCAATTTCAGGGTCTTATAGCTCAAAATAATCAGTAAATGCATGAAAAATAACAAATGAAGTCAGAAATGGTTGAAAATTGATGATGTGGCTTTGAATGGTGCATTTTGAACACAGAAAAACTATGG